AACAGTGAACGTATCTTTGTTGTGCGGCAGAAGTTAAATAAAGTATGAAATGTAAGACCCAGAAATGTAAAATTCAAGATTTGTCCAGGTATTATTTCCAAATTCATAAAGTCAATGCCTTTAAAACTTTGACAGATCCCGCGGGAACCCTGTTAATGTATTCACAAAGAAATCAAGATAAATTATTTCGGAGGGTAATTAAAAGCTTGAATCGCTGGTGAACTTCGTCGCAGCATCACCGAGTCATTTCACAGGAGCTTTTCTAACACAAAACATTGTCACATGTCAGTCTACTGGAATGTCAAAAACTTCTTCTGTGCAGTATTATTCATCTGAGAGATTTCACATGCTTCAGTCCCGCTGTTTTAGTTTGCAACAAGAGTTCGAATGGGGCCTGAATTACACTTACCACCTGTTATTTTATAACGGGTCCATAAGGAGCTGTTTAGTTGAGGGAGGCAAAAAAAAAAAAAAAAAGTCACATGAGTACAAAATGTTACTGAAGGGAGTTTGTTCACGGAATGGACCATTTTCCCTTTCAATGTACCGTCTTCATAGCAATCACTGTAATTTATCACGTTCTTTGATTCCCTCCCGCCGCCCCTTTCGGAATGAAAGAAAAAAAAAAGAGAGGTCTGAACCTCACACGCACTTGGAAATTAAGTGTGTATGCCCGTTGCCTGGGCCCTTAAAGATTTCATTAAGTCGCCAGTGAGCCCGTTCTATAAAAACCAATTTGCTTACCAGCAATGGGCCGTTGCGGTTTCTTGGTATTGGAGCAACTGGAGGCACGACTGATAGTTCGTGTTGTCCACATTGATTTTGTCAGGAAAATAAGACCGGTGGTTTTGTTTTTTGGTCAACGTTATTGCTCTTCGTCAAGCAGCGTTTTGGCAACATCCATAAATCAGGGGCGTTTGACGTTTGCAATGAGATGCTTTGTCTTCACGGTCCTCAAACTTGTTGGTGCTTTCCCCAAAGTAGCAACTACAGGCAAGACTGGTGGTGGTGGGTTTTGTTGTCCATGTCAATGCCATCAAGGTTATTGTTCTTCATCAGCGTTTTTCTGGCAATATTCGCAAAACAGCAGCTTGCCGATTCGACTGATGCCCGAGGTCGTAATTCTTCATCAGATGTAAATTGGAAAGATTGGAAAAGTCACAACTGGAGGTAGAGTAAATGTGATCTGTTATCGTGTGCCTTATTTCAGTTGAGCTGCACAGCCTTCAATAGTGAATCGTAACACTTGGGCGAAGCGATTAGCACCGGTGATTTGCATGATCCAAACAGATGTTGAAGTCGTCGTTTGTCTGCAATGTTTTTGCTACATCTGAGGTATTTGAGCAAAGGAGTTGATTAATTCTTAGCGATGATTCATAGATTGTCCGGCTCTAGTAGATGATATTAAAAAAATGAAAAAAAAAAAAAAAGACTTGCGGCCGTATAGACTTCAGGACTGGATAAATATTTGGTTAAACAAGTAAATTAATTAAACGTATCCCTTCTACATATGCTATCTTGTGTCCGAAGCAGAGACACGACTCTGAGCCTAGGTCATCGGGTCAAGCTCCGGATAATCATACCACAAATTCTGAGTTCCGGAAAATAGACACCATCACGGAAGATTCAATGAGGGACGGTGTCTGGATGATTATTGTTATTGCCGCTTCAAAGACTTGTGGACATAAGCAGGTGACGGGGTCACATAACTTAGTGACAAGGAGAATGCAGCTAGGCATGTCGAGCATTTTTTTTTTTTTTTTTTTTGACAGCTGCCGGAATGACCTGCGGGACCTCTACCACTCAAGTTGGTCTTTCCAGTTTAAGACAACTTTCCGACATGTACAAGAGAGTGCTCCGAACATTTCAATTATTTCATTATTCTTTTATTGTGTCCAAATTCTGCATCATTTTGTTTTCGCTCCTTTAATTATGCCACCACCACACAAAGGCTCTCATTACGAACTGTCACATTGTATGCGATTGTTGAAATTTGATCATAGGTTAAAGACAGTAGAACTTTGTGATTCAGATTCGTTCATGCTTCAGTTTTTCATGAGCTATTAATGCCTAGATGCTAAATGTCCCCTATCGGGCCACCAATAGTGACGTTCAAGTGGCCCGACACAGTCACGTGGTGGCCTTTGGGGCAGCATTAATTTTGAGCCCTAATTTTACTTTTGCACATAGTGAACACCCACCACGCCACCAGCACAGGTGGTCATGCAAATCATCAAAATGCGGTTTTGTGGTCACGGATAAAATTAATTTTGGCACCTTTGTTTGGTGAGCTTTCAGAAGCATGCAGTGCCGCAGAACTTAAGACTCAAATCAAGCTTTTAAATAACAGGATAACCGGAGGATCTGCCTGAATTGGAGCGCTGTCATTTCATTTATTCAGCGAGCAGGGAATGAATGAAAGATGAAGAATTATTTTTTGCAGAAGGATCCTCGTGAGCCACACAGGTAAGTCTCGGTTCCATCTTAATGTACACGGGGTTAGTCTGCAATTTTTTATTTATTTTTTTAATCGGAATTTGGGTTGTACTTATTGGATTTTTGGATTGTACCTGTTGGTTTTTAACGATAAAAATAATTAAGTCAACAGAAAAGTAATTTTCAGCATGATGAAAAGATTTTGGAATATAATAACCGTTTTGAAAAACTAGGTCAAAAACTTTTTTTCCCAATACACAGTTTTCATACGGCAACTTTTCAAACTGTCTAAAGGGAGGCTAAAAATGTTTCAAAACACTGCTTTATAGTCTTTTAAATAGATGTCCCACAGCAATAATTGCTTTCGAAAGCAGTGCGGGAGAGTGGCTTGTTAAACTTCACAAACGCCTGGAATATTATTTGACAGCCACGTCATCGAGCTTCTATTGCAGCTCCGGCAATTTATTGAACATTATTATAAAAAGATGTGAGGTACTTGTGGCAGTGCGTAAAGCAGCTGAATACTGATTCCTAAGACTGCCAATCGAAAAAACAGCACCTTTTTAAGTCAGTCATTGAAAATGAGTGCTGACCAGAAATGTCAGTTGCATTAAAAAATAAAAAAATTAAAAAAAAATTATAAAATTCACTTTGAATTTGCGCAAAACATTTATGAGACAAAAGGGGCTGTGTGTGAAGCGCCTCAAGGACACAAAGTATACATTTGTGGACTACAGCCAGTAGATCCCGTGGTGACCAAAAAAAAAAAAAAAAAAAGAATTTGCGCTGTTAGCCGATAGTGTTTTGCGTGGGTCACGTGTGTCCGAAGACAGAGTCTCAGTTATGTGTGTTCCAATAACTCAGAAAAAAAATAAACCACAGTTAAGATGTCTCTGCTATTGCTGAGAGAAGAATTTCTGATTGTGGAATTTCCAAAGGCTGCCTGTTGCAGTCCACCAAATGGACAGTTTGTTTGCAACCTCTGGCCCCTCCAGCTTTCATCTGACTTCAAGGAAAAATGCAAAACAACATGTGATGGCTGACAAAGGTCAGCTATTTGTATCCTGAATTGAAAATGTCACCCAGTTTTGGGTGGAAAGTAACATTTTAAGTGCACCTGAATCCAAGACCACAAGGTGTTTTGTAATAACACCAACGTACAATTCGGCCTTTTGGAAAAGCTAACACATACTTGTAATCATCAAAGACAATTCAGTGTTCAATGAAGTTCACGTACATTATGTGTTTTTTCTTTTTTTACATTCCTATGTGGTTTTGTAAATGACAAAGAACAATGTCGTCTTCAGTGCAGGCAATGATTGAAACGGTTTAGATGATCCTCGTTTGGATTGGCAAAAGGAATAGACCACCCCTGTGAATCAGAATGAAATTCCATTCCGATTTGGCTTTTTTTTTAATGCCGAGTGAAGTGTTTATTTGGAGCATTTTCATTCCGTTGGGTCATTCAGAATCATTTTAATCTGAATACATGGTGCCATGAAAATCTGGCTAGTGTGACTGCCACACTCAAATTAAAAGGTTATCAGACTTACCGTGTGGCAATTGCACCTGATGACAGCCTGCGGTTTAAAGTTGGACTAAATGGGGCGTAGCTAAATGTTTGACTCCACACAGTCATGTAAAGGCTTTATACTCCCACGGGTGAAGTCCGTGCGGAAATTTCCCAACTGTGTGGGAAACGTGGACGTGAGACATGTAAACATTCGGGCCTTGCCATGGTCATGGAGCATGTACTAATACTACAACAAAGGAAGTCTTTCCATTGTTTTCATGGCCTCGAGCGATTTGCGGTACCGTTTTACAATAGTAGATGTCGGGGCCTACAGCTGGGAGAGTGATGGAGGGGTGCTGAGAGAGAGCAAGTTTGGGTCCATTACCCCGCGACATGAAGCCAACTTCTCCCAAGTGGCCAATCATTCATGGGCTGAAGTCAGGGTGCCCCATATGATTGTTTGAGATACAGCATTCAGTAACCAATTTGTCCTCTGTAGCCAGGGAGTGTGTGGAGGCGGAATTCTGTCTGCCTCCCCTCACACTTTATCTGTGGTTTTACGCACACTGCAAAACTAAGAGAGACAAAACAGACTCTATTGCAATACAGTAATTTTACCAACAGAAGGTGGTGTTGTCCTGTGTCGATTCTGCTTTTATGAATGATTGCACAATAAGTCTGGGAAGGCTGGCTGCTGGCACCTGCACTTCCCAAACCCCATGTTTATTTGAACAGGAAGTGTGCAAATTCAAAAAAAAAAAAAGTTTTTATATATTAAATCATGGAAACTTTTGGCTTCAAAGTTCAAACAGAAAACCACTACAAAGTTCTTGAAGGTAAACTTAAATGTAAAAGAATTTTACGTTATTATTTCTTTGTTTTCCCCACCACTGCATGTGAAGACAGAAAAATATTCAGTTTGCAATACAGTTAATTAGTCAGCAACCAACAACATTTAGTCTTGAGGAATACCAATGAAAATTCTGATTTCACCAATTACCCCATGGGGATGAATAAAGTTTTCTGAATCTGAATCTGAATCTGAATTAAGCGGTGAATATTTAGAGCCTATAATGCCATAAATGTATGTTTTCCCAAACAAAAAATATTGAGTCTTCAATGAACCCAACGTAGTCTACATGGTTTCTACACAGCGAAGAATGTTTTGAGTCTTCGATCAAGCTAATGTTGATGTCTTCATTCATAGAAAGGGCAATTTTGAGTTTTCAATTCATCTAAGCTAGGGTCTCTATCAATATCGTCTGTAATCTAACATAAGTACACGTTTTTGTAAACATGCAACACAATTTGAATGAATCTCATGGATATAATTCGGGAAACAGGAAAGCAACATGTTGTAAAAGGAGGGCAAACAATAAGTCTTCAAAGAAGTTAACAAATGTGTGTTTGTGATCATCTGAAATGATTAAATCATCCATGAAGCTCAAGGACACATTTTTGTCATCAAAGAAGATGTCAATGTACAATGAAAATTTCCCCACCACGATAACACTGGGAGCCAATGTACTTTTTGAAGCAAGTGACAGCCTACCTTAGCCTGTGGTCTGGTTTTCCAGCCTGCTGTGAAAAGAAAGTTTTCTCTATGAGTAAAATAATCATCATCATCATAATAATAATAGCTATGCCATCATCATCATAATAATAATAGCTATGCCATTGAGCAGTTTATTTGTGTCATGTTTACTACCAGCAGTAGTGAATAACATGATGACTAACCTGAGTCAAACTGTTACTTCGTTTGGGCCCTGTCAGCGCTCGGACGGTACCTAAGACGCTAACTGTAACGGCTAAACAAAAGTACGATATAAACCACAACTCAAGGGTTGTTTTTAAGGTATTAGAAAGACATAAAAATTGAGAATAACATGACCAATTATCCCGGGTAAGTTGCAACCAGGTGTCGGAAGCTTCGTTTTCGTCTTTCAAATAATGGCGGAGGGAAAACCGGATTCGTATTTGTCCCGGTGCTCACTCTTACTACCTTGAGAGCGGAAATCGTCACAGCACCATTTTAAACTGACCAATGAAAAGCCTTCTAACTCCGTTCTTGGTGGAGGACCCGCCCACCCGATTGAGATTGATTCGCAACCATAACTCACAAGTTAAAAATAAAATTTCAAAACTTGCAACCAACACTTCAGGATATGAAAACAAAATTTTAGTGTGAACCAGCAATTTTTTCAAATTCAGAAATAATAGTCTTGTCTAACGATCCTTATTTTTACGTTTAGAATCCACCCACTCTTTGCAAATCGTTTTTACTGATTGCAAATATTTTTTGTTACATTGCATAAAAAACAATAAACAAAAATCTTTCCATACAAAATGTTAAAAAACACAAAAATGTCTTTTCGCTGCCTTTTTTTATGGGTTGTAAAACGAGTGTTTTAAGAATACTTGTGGCTGCCTGGAAAAATACTTAGAAGTACTGTTTGGCTCACTTTGTACAGCTATACATAAAGACCATATAATTCATTTCCGCAGAGAAGTGCTAATGCAGCTCTACGAACGGGAAATGTTGAATCCATCCATTATCTTTTTCAGGGGAAAGGCCCACAAGGGGAGAGACAGAGGTCAAAAGCTGAACTGCTGACTGTGTGACGAGTGGTCAATGGGTAAAACAGCGCACCGATCGCTTGTCAGTCAACCCCATCCGAAATTGAGACGAGCATCATTATTTCCGTATTCACATTTTTTGGTGACATTTTTCTTTGATGTTGGGGAAGACTGCATTACTCAGGTGTACATTATTATCATCTTGTTAAACAGAAGGTGGGTGGATAGTCGGAGGAGCATGCGCTGCGTCAAAGTGAACGTGGAAGCGGCCACCTCTCTTCTCCTCTTCACCGGGGCGGAGAAAGAAGAGGAGGCCGTCTCTCTCTCTCTCTCTCTCTCTCTCTCTCTCTCTCTCTCTCTCTCTCTCACACCCCCCCCCACTCTCTGGCTGCGGTTGCCACTCCATATTATAAAGCTTTGCGCCCTTCCTGCGCGGGAGCCTTCTGGATGTACGCGCGCCACTCGGACGCTCTTTGCACGCCCCCTGTAAAAAAAGCACGCATTCACTCACTGACTTAAGTCGTCCTAACACCTCCTCTACCACGGCCGCCAACAACTCCATTTTTTTCATTTTTAGGTGATATTTTTGGGGCCTCCCTCTTTTCGGATACTAATTTTGACGCGTTGGATATGTGCACACAAGATGATGACAACACCTTTCCTGCCCGTAGAAGTAAAATAAAATAGCCTTTCGCGCACTCGAGCTTGTCCCCTGTCGTTCCATATGAAGAAGCCAAAAGTAAGTGTGGATTTTTATTCAAATTACTATTTTTGCATGCATGCATGCACGGATGCAGCTTTTTATTATTTTATTGTCGTTGTTGCTTGCGTGTGGCACTTTTGCACGTAAGGCTGACTTTTAATGGCGTCCCGGGTCCGGATATGTGTGTTCACACGGCAGCGCAGATTTGACTAATTGAGCACAGCAGCATTGTTTTTATATTAAAATGCCGCTTTTGGCAGTTATGTTGGATGGTTCGTGACCTATATGCGTCATTGGGTCCCTTGAAAAGTGTCATAATACTCTGAGTTTTTAAATTGTTGTTATTATTATTATTATTATTATTATTATTATTATTATCATATCATGCGTGTTTTTGTCAACAAATTCGTGTGGTTAATGAACCTAATAAATGTGATTTTTTTAAGATGATGTGGTCATTGAACGCACGCACCACTGTTACAGGAGTTAATCGTCGTCTTGAAAGGCACTTTATAAAACCAATATAGAAAGATTTTTATTAACATGGTATACTTTATTTCAAAGAAGTTATTGTCGCCCATTAACATATTTGAGATATTTTCTTTGAGATGATGTAGTGCTTGAATGCATTTAGGATCATTTGGTTCCCTTGAAATGCACGCAATAAAAAATGAATCATGCACATGGCAGCTTTTTGTAAACGTGAAAGACATCTTGGAGTTGATGAACCTGATGGTTGAATTTATTCAATTATGTAATCCTTGAACACACCACTGCTTAATGTAAGCAGTGTTGGCTCCCTTGAAAAGCGCTTTGTAAATACAGTATTTTACTGAACATAATTGACAATCGTTTCTTTGAACACTTTGTTGTCGTGAGTAAGCTGCACCGAATGTGGGTGAATTGTGACGTGGTCCCTGAATGCGCCACTGCTTCAGTTCTCAAGCATTACTGGATCTCTTAATAGGCGCTCAAGAACATGCATTGTTTTTGTTAAAAATCGCTGTCTATGTCAACGTAGTTTTTTGACCACTTAGAGTCAAGAAGTGATCATTTAGGTGATTTTGTGAGATGATGCGGTCCTTGAATGCACCGGCACTCATTTAATATAATAATTATTTTTATAATTATAATAATTATTATTATGAGTACCATTCATGTTTTTGTAAACAACTTACTGTCTCCAACTAAGTCAATGAGGCTAATAGATTCTTTCTTCGATGAAGTAGTCTTGAACAGAGCACCAAGGCTTCATGTTCTTTATTCTCATGTTCAAACTGTTTGACCTTTTAATTAACTAATCCCCACAAATACCCCCTTTCTCACAAATATACCAAATATACACCCTTTTAACCTTTGACTTGCCCCCCCCCCCACCTTTTCGAACCAAATATGCACACGCGCCCTTCCCCCAGCTCCCCTCCAAGTAGATTCTCTCCCAATTCGTCCATCCATCCATTTCCCAAAGCGCTTATCCTCACCAGGGTCGCGGGTGTGCTGGAGCCTATCCCAGCTGCCACTGAGAGGTAGGCAGAGTACATCCGCAAGTGGTCGCCAGCCAGTAGCAGTGCACGCAAAGGCGGAAAATCATTCACACTCACAGGCAAACATATATGGACAATTGTGCCCAATCAACCTACCATGCATGTGGGAGGAAGCTGGAGTACCTGGAGAAAACCCATGCCGTCACGGGGAGAACATGCAAACACCACACAGGAATCGAACACATGATCTCTGCACTGTGAGCTGCACCGTAACCAGTCATGCACCGTGCCCCCACCCTCCCCACATCCTTCTTTAAAAATATTTGATTTAGTCCAGTGTCACAAGGCTTCCTCCAAGCATGATGGAAAGTGGCCCATTAATTGTTGCCTCAGTATTGTATAGCCTCAAGAAACAGACAGCGTTTGGGGGTTTTTTGGTGCTATTTCCTCTGATTTCAACTTGATCAATGTGTCGCAGCACAGTAGGCGAGTTGTTTGCATGTCTGACTCACAGTCAAGTGTTTTTTGGCTCTTTGGCTTCTTGTTTCTTAGCTGAATGGGTTCTTTGGGCTCAAATCCTGCTGTAAATATTTTTTTGGGGAGGGGTTGCTTTTTTTTTCCTACTACTGTATTACAATTTTCACATTAACACGGGGCACCACAGTGGACTTAAGTGATTGACTTGAGGTCCGAGGCTTGAATTTCAGCTCATGTCCACCTGTAAGGATTTTTTTTCTCTGAATTTGACCATGAAGCTCTCGTGTAAAGAACCTGCTGCTGGTATTACTTTGTGCTTTTTGTTGGCATTTTGAGCATCTGGGGTTAAATGAAACAAAACAGGTGGCACAGTGCAGAGGTGCAGGGTTTAATTCCGATTCCAGCCTTCCTGTGTGGGTTTTTTCCAGGTACTCCAGTTTCTAAACACTCTAAATTGCCCCTCAGTTTGATTGTGAGCGCGAACGGTTGTTTGTTTATGTGTGCCCTGTGACTGGCTGGCAACCACTTTGGGGTGTACCCCGCCTTCTGCCCAATGACGGCTGGGATAGGCTCCAGCACACCCGCGACCCTTGTGAGGATAAGCGGATTCGAAAATGGATGGATGGATGAAACAAAACCTGGCTTTCATGTGGTTGCTGGCTTCCCCCAAAGCATTGAAGTGCTCTGTTATCAGTAATAAGGAAGTTGTGTTTGTTTGCCTCTTCCAGGAACAAAGCACAAAACTCTTTTAAATACCGGAGAGGAGCCGTCGGGATTTTTATTTTCCAAAACCACATAGACGACATACTGGATTACAATCTTCCTCGCTATCCTTCATCAAGTGGCCATTAATTATCGATTCAAACAGCTCAGTACTTGAACTCAGCACAAAAGGAGGGAAAATAATGAGAATGTTGTGCCATTGCAGTTTTCCTTGCTTAAAGATGTTAGTAAAATGTCAGTGATTGTGCTTTGAGCTGATCATTCAGGGGGGCTATTGAATGCTCGACTCACGGTACGCTGTGCCCCGCAGTGCACGTTTCAGTGACATTTTCATTCCCAACCTTTGTACTTGAGTGTAACAATTGGATCAGGCGATTCGTCATGCCGCAGAGTTGGGCGCAGGCATGGCCAGTTAACCCAAGATTATGCATACTAACACAAGTAGTATTTTTTGGTGTACATTTTAAATTGTTCTATATATTTATACTACATTAATTGTCATGTGTATATGAACAGTCAGGGAGGCAAGAGGCAGTTGTGTCAAAATAATGGTTAGCTTGAAGGTAATAATAAGTACACAACAAAAATCCATTTTTGCTGACAAGCAAAATAATGAGAGGATTTTGAGAGAGGAAAAAAAAAACTGTACCATCTGCCTCACAGTCAATTACGAGGTTCCAAGACAAGATAAGATAAGATAAGAAAACCTTTATTTGCAGCATAATTATGAAATGGAGAAGTAGAAGAATAAAAATTATATATCAAGTTCAATAAAGTATATATGTAAAGTTCTGGGTTGGAATCGCTCTTGCCAAAAGTTAGCTTTGTGACTCAGTCTGTGAATGCTGCTTTGCCTACATGTGCGACTGTTGACGATTGGCCCGCGACCAGTGCGAGATGTGACACGTTTTCTCTTGCTAAAAGTCAGTCTAGGTAAATTAAAGAAGAAATTGTCGGCGATGTGTTGCTAGAGCAAACTATGCTAGCTAAGTAAGCTGGAGAAGCTTTAACATGCACTGAGACAAGTTTAATCGGTCACGACAATTTAGTGGAAGACGCTTTGCTCCCGTAAAATAGTAATGGATGTACTGTCACAAGACTTAAGCTTGTTCCATGCTAGTTTACTTAAAAAGCACCAAAGCTGAGTTGTTATCACCTCTAGAAGTAAATGTCCGCCTAGCTGCCTCATTGTATACATTCCCGCGTCCCGGGTCCAAGGTCGGCAGCGCCGCTTTGCAGTAATTACATCAAACTTGTTTTTTTGATCTTTTTTGAGATTAAAGCGACCCCAGTCCCTGGGGGTCATCCTGTTTTTCTTGGAAGTCCATCATTTGTTGCTGGAAGAGTGCGTCTGTCAGCAATAAATGTCCATGCGGTTATCACAGAACTACCCAAATATTGATTCCGGGTGTCTCAAATATGGTTTTTAAACAATGAATTATTGTTCTGAGGCAGAAATGTTTGTGTTGACCATTTTTTGTGGTCAACTGAACCCAGTTAGTTGATTCAATCCCCTCACCCCCACACCCTGGCCCTCGCTGTCCATTTTTTGCCTGTACTGTAAATCCTGTGATTGTCTGTCAATCACTTCAGGGCAGTGGTTCTTAACCTGGGTTCGATCGAACCCCAGGGGTTCGGTGAATCAGACTCAGGGGTTCGACGGAGCCTCTGCCATGGAGGTTAAGGCACACCCGACTCAACATGTCATTTAGTTACGACACGTCGGCTTGGCCATCACTGGCTGCAGATGATCACATTACATTGCTTGTCCAGTCTGTGCTGCGGGAAATTTACTTTGCTCAGTAGTCAACGTGTGACTGTCGTGATCGTACGTCGTGTGATTTTTTTTTTTTTTTTGGGGGGGGGGGGGCGTTTTAAAACCTACCATGTCGGGCAAAAAGTCAGACGAATATGTACAACATGGCAGAACGTAATGGGACTCAGCGTCCTATCTGCATGATTTGTCATGCCAAGTTGAGCAACTCTCATCTCGCACCGGGAAAACTGAAGGAACACTTCTTGAATCATATTTTTATTTTTCACTCAGGGTTCGGTGGATGCGCATGTGAACTGGTTGGGTTCGGTACCTTGGTACCGCTCCAGGGTGTATCCCATCTCTCCTGCCAAAAGACAGTTTTGGTAATTAAAGACTAAATCATGCTATAGTGGTCGACTGGTTAGCACATCCGCCTCACAGAGGTACGGGGTTCCATTCCGGCCTTCCTGTGTGGAGTTTATATGTTCTCTCAGTACCTGTGTGAATCTTTTTCTGGATACTCCGGTTTCCTCCCACATTCAAATAGAGTGAGCGTGAGCGCAAATGTTTGTTTGTCTCTGTGTGGCCTGCGATTG